TGAATGTTAACATGTCAATGTGAATATTCACATTGACATGTTAACATTCATATTGAAAAGAGTAGAAAATTGGTTAGCAGCCCAGGGCGGGCCCGGCCCGTTGACAATGTGAATATTCACATTGACATGTTAACATTCATATTGAAAAGAGTAGAAAATTGGTTAGCAGCCCAGGGCGGGCCCGGCCCGTTGACAATGTGAATATTCACATTGACATGTTAACATTCATATTGAAAAGAGTAGAAAATTGGTTAGCAGCCCAGGGCGGGCCCGGCCCGTTGACAATGTGAATATTCACATTGACATGTTAACATTCACATTAATAGAAGTGTAAAATTAGCCCGTGCCTCATGGCTGCCCGAAACCCGCCCACGGCCCGTGGGCGGCCTGGGGCGGTCCTGGCCATTTTTTTAAAATTCTTTTTAATTTTTTCTACCAAAATTTTATTATTTTCCACAAAAAAAGACACTAGGCCTCGAACCGAGCCTTGAATAGGCCTTAACCGGGCCGATGGGCGGGGCTAGGCTTCAAAGTGATAGCCTAGGCCCTAGCCTAGGGTCTTGGACATGGACTAGGCTCGAGCCTGGGCCCAAACGAGTCTTTCCCGGGCCGGACCGGCTCACGAGCCAAAAAATTAGGCCCAAGCCATAGCCCTGGCACAAGGGTATTCGGGCTTTGGACTGGACGATGGATTGAGCCGGTGGGCTTGGGCCTAGCCTCGAGCTTAGGTCGGGCTTGGGCAGGCCTGACAATTTTTTTTTAATTCTTTTTAATTTTTTCTACCAAAATTTTATTATTTTCCACAAAAAAAATACATTGCGCCTCGACGCGGGTTGGGCCCCGGACCGAGCCTTAAATGGGCCTTAAGTGGGCCGATGGGCGGGGCCAGGCTTCAAAGTGATAACCTAGGCCCTAACCTAGGGTCTCGGATATGCTCGGGCCCGGACCGAAACGAGCCTGCCCCGGGCCGTAGGCCGGCTTCGGGCAGCCCACGGGCCGCGGGCCAATTCTACATTCCTATCAATGTGTATTTTAACATGTCAATGTGAATATTCACATTGTCAACGGGCCGGGCCAGGCCTATCCCGGGCTGCGGGCAAGCTTCGGGCAACGGGCAAATTTTACACTCCTATCAATGTTAATATTAACATGTCAATGTGAATATTCACATTGTCACGGGTCGGCCAAGCCAGCCTCGAGCTTTGGGCCGCCCACGGGCTGCGGGCCAATTTTACACGCTTATCAATGTGAATGTTAACATGTCAATGTGAATATTCACATTGTCAACGGGCTGGGTTGGGCCCGCCCTAGGCCGCTGGCCAATTTTATACTCTTATCAATGTGAATGTTAACATGTCAATGTAAATATTCACATTGTCAACAAGCTGGGCCGGGCCCGCCCCGGGCCACCCACGGGCCGTGGGCGGGGTTACCTAGGTCTTTATCAATTTTAATTGAATAATTTTTTTCTAATTTTTTTGTTCTAATTTTGTTTTATTAAATTGTTTTATTTATAATTTTAATGATTATATGAGTAAGTAAATTTTTTTATGGTTACAAACAAATAAAAAAATTGTAACTTATCGTTTTATTCATGAATTTTTTTTCAATATAAAAGGGCCCTCATTTCTAAAATTCGCCTTAGGCCCCGACGAACTCAGGGCCGGCCCTGCACCCACGGGCCGGGGGCAGGTTTCGAGCAGCCACGAGGCGCGGGCTAATTTTACACTCCTATCAGTGTGAATGTTAACATGTCAATGTGAATATTCACATTGTCAACGGGCCGGGCCCGCCCCGGGCGGCGGGCGGGCTTTGGCCGCCCATAGGCCGCGGGCCAATTTTGTACTCTTATCAATGTAAATGTTAACATGTCAATGTGAATATTCACATTGTCAACGGGCTGGACCGGGCTCGCCCCGGGCCGCGGGCCAATTTTACACGCCTATTAATGTGAATGTTAATATGTCAATGTGAATATTCACAATGTCAACGGGCCGGGCCCGCCCCGGTTCGCGGGCTGGTTTCGGGCCGCCCACGAGCCAATTTTAAATTCCTACCAATGTGAATTTTAAAATATGAATGTTCACATCATAAAATTGTTAACCGTTCAAAAAATATTTATAAGGGTATCAAAATTAAATATAAGGGCATAAGTGTCTAAGAAAATAATGTAAATCAAGAAAAAAGACTTTATGGAATAAAACTATACATACATGAGACTAAATGAGTTAAAAAATTCATTCATGGACGTCTTGAGTTATAACACTTTCAAATGAGATTTATCAATAAAAATTCTAAAATTAAAATTTTAAAATTTTAATTAAGTGTACTGAGTAACTATTTTGGTGCAAATAGAATCACCCCAATAGTATGCATGTTAGCCTGGGCTTTCAGTTCTTATTGCTAGCCTGGCTCAAATCTTGGCTTGGCCCAGCCCAATTATAGGAAAGCCCATAAATGGGAGTGTTTTCTCTCTACAGAGAGAGAGAATGGTGAACTGGTTTTGGAACTTTTACAGTTGAGGTAGAGATGAATAATCTTCTCACGATTGAGTTCTTACTCGAAAATCTCTTTGATTGATTCATTATTTTTACGATTGAGAGTGATACAGGTATCTACTTCGTGGTGAATCACAGCTATATTTGTTTACTGTTTATTGCCTTTTGTTAAATCAAATTTTGGGTTTGTATTTTCAGATTTCAATTCACATAACTCTAATTTTGCATTGCCCATTTTTAGCATTATATGTGAAAAATTCAATTTTTTCGATGTATGAATGTGTGTGTGTGTGTGTGTGTGTTTTTTTTTTTTTAAGGGCATTATTGATGATTTCAATGAAATTCTATTTTAGTGTCACTGATACTGATGAACTTAAGCATATGGATTTGATCTTGATTCCATGTATTGATGTTTACTGCTCAGCTGAATTTTATTTCATTTGCTTGGCAATTTTTGAAAGCAAAAATTCATGATTGGAAATATTTAAAAATTGTACCTTTTACTATATATTAAAATTTCATGTTTTTTCAATATATGATAGTATGGAGTAATCGTATTGGCATGGTGAATCTTTTTGTTTTTTCTTTTGGGTTTTTTTTTAAAGGGCATTATTGATGATTTCAATGAAATTCTGTTTTTCTACTATTGATTACTGAAAATTTCAATTCAAGTAGTCGGATGCGATATTTTGTGTTTTTGTAGTTCAAAGTTTATGTAATTGCCATAAAAACTCTTTCTGTAAAGGGCATTTACAGTGAAATGAAGTGCTACATTTTCATTTCAATGAAAGACAAAATTAGGAATTTAAATACCAGAAAACCCATAATCCATATCAATACATAGGAACAAGATGTTTAAAGACACAAAATTAGAATTGGTATACAGACTCCATTCATAGCATGCTATCAGCTCGAGCCGGCAATCTCCTGAAGAAATTGCTGGAAACTGAGGGCATTTTGCTTCGAAATCTCGGGTGTCGTAGTAAATATAAGCCAGCAACCAAAACCACTATCTTAAAGGGTGTAACATAAAGTGCCAGTGCTGCACAAAGGCAGAAGACTATGAAGAGACTGCTCGCTCTAGGATCTCTCCAGCCAAGTAGAGCATGAAATCTTTCCCCCTGTGTTGCAATGTCTCCTACCACAGTTTGAATTCTCCCAGCAACACTTCGAAGCCTATCATACCTCATCCGTACTACATCAGGAAGTTTTGATGTAGGGAACGTGTCGAACTCTTCATCCATTTCATCAGGGTGAACTGCTTCAGCACATGAAAGTTTGATATCCATGTGTGGTGGATGCTTTGGCCGGAACCGAAAATTCCATAGCCCAATCAGAAACATGTAAAGGAATATCGTTGGGAGTATCAACTCAGGGTAGCAAATCAATATGAAAAGTAGGACGTGGACTAGAATTGAAGTGGCTGGGTTCTTCCAGTGACAAACTTCACCAAGCCATTTGCTCGTAGAGATTACACCCGAAAATAGCGAAACAATTCGAAAGAAGTTGGCTTTGCTTCTTCTCATGCTCCACATGTGGGAATCCACATCGAGCATGTATTCCACGACTTCTTTCCTTAGTGGAGGCTCGGCGCGGGCAAGCCTTACTGCTACAATGTTCATGGCCTGATATCTCAAAAAGTCTAATTGGCTTACAGTGAAAGGATGGAGATAGTGCATCTTTGGGAGTAAAGGGTGTCCATAGAGGTATATTATATTTGCCAAAGACAAGCAAGTGAACCTAAAGGCCAATTGGAGTTCTCCCATCTTCTTCAGTCCAGATGATTGTAGAACAAGAAGTGGGTAAGAATGTGTATAAATTCGATCTGTTTCCAAGGTAGATAGTCGGATTCTTACCTTTCCGATTCTCGAGTCCCTGGCAGCTGCCGATTTCTCGCTTCCCCCCAAGTGGCAGTTGTCGAAAACTCCCAATGTGATCACCGTGCAAGGGTCATAAACCTCCCAAGTATATTGCTCATTCCATTTTGGGCTAAAGCTTTCAAGAATTGTTCTGGTTCTTACCCACTTTTGTCCATACTTGGCCACACAATAAGCATCTGTGGTTCCTTGGCCATCCTTTGGCTTCTTCATTGGCTGAAGTCCTTGTGCACTTAGAATACCCACTTCAAGGATTCCAATAGGATGCTTCCATAGCTGCCGAGCAGTGGGCCTTGTGTCACTTACATACATAGTTGATTCATCTAGTACATGGTAAGCACCTTCAAGACAGGCTCTGAGATGAATCCTGGTTGAAAACTTGTGCTCGTGCCTCTTATCTCCCTCCAATGCACCAAACCCAAATTTTTCGAGGTTAAACCATCGAGAATGTACTGGCCTGTGATCCAATCTCTTCTCAAAGATGGTCAGCGGCAAGCTTTTTTTCCCCACAAGTTCATGTTTTGAAGCACTAAAATGGTTTTCAACAGCACAAATCTTCTTCAAAAGGTTCAGCAGCAACAAAGATTAGATCTTCATTCAGAATGGACTGGTTGTTCTGGTTGGGCATAACTTTGTTTTCAGCATCTGGTTTCCAACTTGAGCCTTCACTGAAACCTGTGGGTGCTGACTTTTGTCATGTGATACTACATCATGGGCTTCAATTACATTGACTCTGAGGTACCAAAGTTTAGGCGAAACATAAACCTTTGATCTGACGCTGAAAATGCCCTCGCCCTCAACTGAAGCAGCATCTGAATGCCATGCCTCTGGGAAAGCTTCATCGGCTTGTGTACCCAACCAAACTGCTAGCATAATTTCTCCTTTCACCTTGGTCTCACCTTTCCGGTGCTCTAGTCTATACCATTGAGGTGCCAAAGGGCTATCTGGTGGAACCCTTGTTGGCACTTCATTCATGTCGAAAGTCACCTTCCCTATAATATCATCTCTGCCCACCAGCTCTCTATCTCTGACAAAAACTTCAAGATCAGAAGAGTGACTCTTCTCTTTTGAGAATGCGAAAACTTCGTTCCACTGGGGGTTCGTTTTCTTCTCAAAGCGTTGAGTTTTCCCTTTAAAATTCCCAAGTTTCACTACTACATATGGATCACAGCTTCCAGTTACAGTGTTTGGGGGAAGATCTTTGGCTTTAACAACTCGAACATATAGATAATGCATCTGTTCAACAAGATCATAAGTGCTTGTAGCCCTGTCGCTGCTAATCCATCCACCTCCTCCACGCATCCCTCCATGTGGCCAGCGCTCTCCGAGCTTCGGGTGCGTGTCCTTCAGTTTATAGTCATCTTGCTGGTTTTTTGTTACATGTGGATCCATGGTTGGGCGATAAATGCCCTTGTACTAGCTTTTTTTTTGCTAAACTTTGTGAAACTCTGGTATTTGTGTATATTTGTTTTGAGCTAGTGCAGGAACACCAAAAGCTTCAGGTATACGGACTTTGGGTATAGGAGATTTCAGTCTTGGCTATCTGTACGAAGCACGGTAATTTCATCAGAAATTAGAGGATAGACAATGCTTGAGATGTAAAGAGTCAAAATAAAGAAAGAGCTAAACAAGCTTTGAATTTTTTGAAAATCTTTATTTCCTTTAGTTGACTATATGAAGGCCATGAATTCTTACCTTGTGAAGAATTGCACTAAGGAAATGTCTTTTCTCTGATTGCAGAATCTCATGAAGCTGCCACTTCTCTCGAGGCTCTTGCAATTTCGAGGTTGAAGAAGATGAGCTTCTGGGTGACAGTTAAATGGGTTTCAACGACTCAGCTAGATGATCTCTCAAAGTGCTTGGGCATAAAGATGAAGGTATTCACTGACTTCTCCACTAGCTTTATGTAGCTCTTGTATGTTGTGTTGCTGCTATAAGGTTGTGGCCCTTTGTTAGACTGTAGACTCTTTACTGTGAAACATATTTTAATATTAAAAACAAAAAAGATGAAGGAAATTTTTTTCTTTTTTTAAACTTAAAAAAGATGAAGGAATCATTAAAGATTATTAAGGAATCGGTAAAGATTTTTAAGCGATAAGCTGGAAGTGGAACCACCACTGGAAAGCATCCAGAAGGAGAGAGCAATGGGGAAGGCCATTTGCTTTGTTTATACGCATTAACTCTAGCTGGGGGGAGATAATTCGATGTTCCATAATCACCACATTAAGTTTTTGTTTCAGGCTAGTCATGCTCGGCCACATAGGGCCTGAGGTCCCATCATTCCCCCATCCCGAGGAGCTGTCCCAAGATTACCAACAAGGTTGGAGCTTGGATCCCAGATTTTTCTATGTGATTGAGCCTGGGTCCTAGATCGAAGTAAATATTTGGCCTCAGATCACCGAATATTTACTCCAAGCTAGGACCATTAGTTTTAGAGTCTTGTTTGGCATGGGCTTAAAAGCCAGCCATTTTAGCCAAGAAAAGGCTTTTTAGTTGGTGTCAAACAGAACTAATAGAAAAACAAGTGGCTTATACCTAAAATTCCAATCTTTAGTACAACATATGATACCCCACTCAAGAGGACAAACATAGTCTTTTGGACTACTGACATTTCCTGCATTTTGGCTTTTCTAGATTCTCTCTCTTTCATGTATGTTATTGTGGCAAATGATGCAACTACCTAATTGCCCTTCCCTCCAAAAAATTGAAGATTAATAGGGTTTGAGATGAGGGTTATATAGTCTTTTTATTTGAACAGTATCACTTGCTTTTTAGTTTCCGATGTACCCAAAATTTAAAAAAAAAAGAAAAAGTATCACTTGCTTTTGCCCAGTGTTGACAGTTCTTATTTTTCTTTAATCACAGGCAGAGCTAATATGAAGGAAAAGCAAGTGATGTTGAAAAAGAACTTTGAAGAGAGCTAAAGCACTGTAGTGGAGAGATTAAAGAAAAGCAAAAGCAGTAGAGAAAAAGCTCAAGAAGGGCTTATTCACCCTTGCCTATAAAGATATGCTTTTGTTCTTTATTCTCTTACCTTTGTTCTCCTTTAATTAATTTCCAACTGTCCATCCTTGCTTTTCTGCTTCCAAAACTGATCACTTTTGGAAGAAACCCAGTTCCTTCAAAAAATTGCAAAATTGGCAACTGTTTCTGTTTAGATTGATATGAATAAGAGTTGTGTTCAAAATTTTACTTTTTTCCTGGCCTACTTGAGTAGACTAAGGGTTGTTGAATTTGATTGAATCAATCATTTTAGGCCATGTTTGTTTAGGTGGACATGAGTTTGGGATTGGACTAATAGTTCAATAAAATTATTAATCCGATGTTTGGTTAAACAATTGAAGTACGGACTAATTATTTTAAACTTGACTATTAGTTAAAATAGGATATATAATCCAACGGATTTGTAATTCTAAGACTATTAGTCATGGGAATGCTAATTCAGTCCGCCTAAACAAACATGACCTTAGTGATATGTTGGTATCGTGGATTAGTCGAGAGAAAAGGTAAAGAAAAAGAAAGCTGAGAAAAATTTAGTCTCTCTTTGGATTTTGAATTTGTTGAAAGGTAAAGGATTCTCTCTCCCCAGTTATCTTTTTTCCTCTATTCCAAAACATTTACAACCATCGATGTCTCTTCTAGATTCTTACACTCTGAAATTTTTACATAATTCAATGTTATAGATGTTTTGGGTTTGTAAACTCTTAAAATGTTTTGAAATTTGTGAGAAGTGTTTAATGTCCCCAAAGTACATTGTTAGACTATAATAAATCTATACTATTATAAAGTGTATCTTTTGTGGTGGTCTAAAGCCTCTCCTCTTATGCTTCTAAGTGTCTATTTTTCAATTTAAAACAAAATAATTAGATAGATGGGAGGAGTAAGACTCGAACCTTGAAATTTGAGTCTAATAAAGTAAACTCTTACTACTTGAATAACACAATATATAACAAACATTTTGTTTTATATTTACTTATTTGAATTGTACACGCATCGCGTATGTCAATTTCTAATTTTATAAAAACTAGCAAAATTGTCATACACACATCATTCTGTATGACTATCATTTTTCATATTCCCATCATCAAAATGGGTAGAGTTAATAGAAATAGAAGTATCTCATTTTTCTTGATTGGAATTCTAGTCAGTGTTATCCACTCATATTATTCACCCAAACAATGGTTATGGACACAAAACGGCTGCTGCATAACACTAAAGCTTGTTTAGTCTGCTGGAATTCCTGAGAATCTGAACAACAGTCCAATTGAATATAGATTTGGGCCCTGTTTGGCAATGGCTACCTATTTCAGCCCAAAAAAATTTGCCCATTTGGTCATGCTATTTTTTGGGACCAAAAGGACAATTATAATTTAAAAAACCATTTTACGGTATCTATGTGTTTATTATTGGGAAAATTAGTCTAAGGTCATTTTCCCATTTTTAATAATGGAAGAGATTCACAATATTATTTTTTCATATCTAAAGTCTCTAAACCTACAACCATCTATCACAGAGAAATTTGATATTTCTCACACTCGCTGTCTCTCTCTCCCGCTGCTCTTCTCTCTCCTCCATTAACTACTCTCTTATCAATGATTATAATTTATTTTGGTCCAGGTTCACTGTACCTTGGCATCTTCCCAACGCAACAACGGGGCTTTAGTTGAGTAGTTGCTTCGAAATCAATCCTACTTTTTCGATTTTGTTGGGAAATTGTAACATCATCATCAAAATCCACGCAATTTTCGTATTTGTTTTTCTTCCTTTTCTCTTTCGCAATCTCTCTTTACCTATTTCAATGGCGATTTCGAATGAATCTGCAGCAAATTCCAAAATTTCGCCGCCAGATACATTTGGATCCGTCGCAATCGGAGGCACCTTCGATCGATTACACAACAGTCACCGCCTTTTTCTCAAAGTTCTCTATCTCTCTCTCTTTGTGTATATATATATATCTTTGAACATGTATCTAATTAAGTTGGTACTTACAGAAACCAGCGGAATTGGCTAGGGATCGCATTGTGGTTGGAGTTTGTGATGGACCCATGTTGACTAAGAAACAAGTATTTGTAACATCTTTGTGCTCTATGTGAATCCATATTTGTTGATTACTTACTGGGTGATTGCTATAAATTGCTTATGCTTCACTTCACAATTTTCTCTGGATAGACCCAAAGAAATTTGGTGTTAAATTTGGTGTTAGTGATGTGTAAAATTTTCTCTGTGATGTGTCTGGAGAAATTTGGTGTTGGAGATATGTAAAATTTCTCTGCGATGTACCTAGAGAAATTTGGTGTGGGTGATGTGTAAAATTTTCTCTATGATGTGTCTAGATAAATTTGAAATTTTCTCTGTGATTTGTCCAGGGAAATTCTCTAGATCGATATTAAGGGACCTTAGACATTATAAAAATATTGAGTATCCTTTATGCTATAAACTATTAATACCAGGGACCTTAAAAAAAATCCCTTTATTATTCATGTCACCTATCTATTCACGTATCATTTTACTATTTGTCTATGTGTACCAATTTGTCTACCTAATCGACCTATATATCCGTATCATCACCACCACCACTATCACTGTTGGCCACTGCCGAAAACTTTTCCATTGAATTTTTAGGCATTGGTGACTTTTTTAGCGACAACGGTCCAACAGTGGGAGTACAATTAAAAAAATCCTTTAAAAAATTAATTTCTCTTTCTCACTAAATAATTTCATTAAACATATTTTTATCACCAAAAAATCAAAACTTGAACCAAATAATATAGGGATAATTTCAAATAAATATAAATTTTAAAAAATAATTACAAAAAAGTGATAAACTTTATAAAAATTAATAATTATAATTATAATATTTTCCATGATTGTAATAAATTTACTGCTTAGGGTAATTTGTCCAATAATATATAGTACCATGAAAAAAAATCATTTTTTTAAAACAATTACTTATTGCTAAAAAAAATAAAGAAAGACAAAACCAATTAAAAAAAAAATTGCCAAATCATACCTTAATGTTTACTTCAAAGCAAATTCTGGGTGCAGGTTGAAATCACACTGGGTACATTCAAAGCCAAGAGGACCCTGGCTGATCTGATTATTTGACAGCTACTATCATCAGTCTCTTTTTGAACAAAAGTGACAAGGTGCAAGTGGCAATCAGCTTCAATGGTTCCTCCAAACTTGATATTTGAAAGTTCATCATGAAGACTAATAATGCACTCACAATGAATAGATTGGTCACATTCATCACAGTGATAGAACCAGTTTTTCGGGTTTAGTTTGTAACAGCAAACTTCACAGTAATACTCAGCCAGATGGTCTTTCACCGGAACATAGTTTAGACTATAAGGGTGTTCGTCATATCTGTGCCTAATTGTACGCAGCCACAAAGCACAACGGATGTGCAGGTTGAAACCGCAAGTTTCACATCCAAATGTCAACAGAGGAGAGCATACATGACAAGCATTGCACGCCCAAGGAAAATTTTCGGGTAGGAGGTGGTGCTTTGTGAGCTTCGTGTCTGATAGCGCCCAGTAAGGAACCACACGTGGCATTGAGGTTGAATGTGCAAGTGGTACACTTGTAGGTAAATCCATTGCAAAGAAATGGACAAGTTCCACACCTGAAGACCCCAAAACCAGAAGGGTCTTGTGTGAGGAGAGTGAGCAGGTGTTTTGGGTGTAATGGTCATTGGACAATCTTCACTGTATTTAAATAGATTAAATTCTATTGTGTACTAAACAACAACAAGAATATAAAGAAGTAACGAAAATGAGAGAATTTATTTGATTACAAAAATTAAACTAGAAATAAAATTAAATAAATAAATAAATAAAAACAGATTTTATTTTATTACAAAAATAAAATTAAAATTTGATTTAATAAACACATAAAACATAATAATAAATTAAACAATTTACTTGATTAATTTGTTCTAATAAATATCTGATCAAGTCCAGTGTTTGGCAATGTGCCCTTAAGACAGATTCGTCCTTTCCATGGTGCTTTCTGAATGTGGACGTCTATCTCCCAGGATGAAATGATCAACTACAAACAATAGCAGGACTACAAATTGTTTGCCTAACGAACACATTAAGTGTTTATACTCTTTCTCACAAAAATTAAATGTAGTAAAATGAAGAATAAATTTGCAGAGGTAAAGTACGAATTTTCTGAATCTGTAAACATCAAATGAGGGCTGTCGCAAACCTGTTTGAACAGGTATGATTGGTTTTGAATTTAAACAGATTTGAATCTGTTCAAAAATTCAAATAGATAAAAAACGGGAAGGGCCCTGTTTGGGTGTATAGTAAAACCGAACCAGTTTATTTCCATAATTAATTTGAATTCTGGATTTTATTTTACTAAAAAATAAAATAAAATTCAAATATTTTTGACCCAAAAAGATAGGTATTAGGCCGAACAAGCCCAACCACACACCACGCACCTGCGCTCAGGCCCAACCCGCCAGATGGACGGCAGTGCGCGTGTGGGGTGATTTGTGGGTTCAATGGGTCTAGCCCATTTTGCCCATAACCTCCTCCTCTAAAACACTTGGGTACCCATTGGGGCACACCCCAAGTTCCAATCTCATGCCTTATAAAACCATTCAAAACTTCCTACCAAATCAATGTAGGGCAAGCCTTATTCAAACTTTTAAGGATTTTTTACCAAAACTCCATTTCTATGAAGCATACTTTGGCTTCAATTTCCCACTCACTCGGTAATGGTTTTGAGCAACCAAATATACTACGTGAATCACAACGCGGCATAGAACGCGTAACCACTTTGACCCGCGATAAACGACGCTCGGGTCCCACCTAAATAATAGACCAAAGTTAGGAAAAAATTTTGGTTTTATCCAGAATAACAATTTCCAACAATGGTTGTGTCACCTCTGCGGGTAACTGGGCACAACTTTGTCGAAAAGGACTAGTGGATGCTCATGATTACTATGGTTGAGCTCTGTTGTTCTCTTGCTTCACCCCAAGTTGAGAAAGTAGGCAATCAGATTAACAGATTCATTAGTCACTGGAAAGGGAATAGGACTGATCTCAATATCTTGAAGTTCCATCTCTGCCTCCTGATCCCTAAAACAAGAATTCGAGATAGAAGAAATCATTTCTCTATTAAGGATCGTAAAGTTTTTTTAAAATAGAAAATCGAAGTCAGAAAAAGAAAAAAAAAATACCAAACCCCACATGAACTTTCTCAACAACAAAAACAATTCTTTTCACAGTTGTCGAAGGCAGCAACTTTTATTTGCCAAACCAGTTGAATCAATAGACAAAAGTATTTCAATAATATAATTATAAGAACAAAGAGAAGCAACAAAGAGCATTAAATCAGAAAACAAAACAGAAGGGGCCGAGGCCAAACCAACCGAAATTGCTCTTCTTGTGATGCTGCAGTTGCAGCAATTGCACAGTTCAAGTGGCCATAGCATCTGCATCCAACACAAGAATAAATCCAGCAAGCTTTGTCGAGGTATTCGGAGCAAATGTCACAACAAAACACGAAGTTGTCAAACTCCCGAGGAAAAGAGTAGCAAAGCGTGAGAGGGTGATCATGATCAAAGTGTTTGACGGTGTTTGGCAATGAAGCACAACTCTCGTGGATCCAGAATTGGCAAGTGTGGCATAGATAAGACATGTCTTCATGTTCGAGGCCACAAGCATCACAAGAGAACAACATTGTCCTCAGCAGAGGTGTCATCGGGTGTTTGTGACTTGTATGTTTGATAATTTGCGGCTTTTGAGCACATATTATATCGTTGTCAAAATTGCAGACTGAACAGCTGTATGCAAAGCCAATCCAATATGCTTTACAGAAATGGCATCTGTGAAACAAGAGAGGTTCTTGAGGAATCCAAGAAAGGGTAAGAGGGTGTTCGGGGTGGAAGGGGTGGTTGATTTGTCAAGACAGTTCTACACACGATTTGTGCAGGTAAAAATTGCACTCCATGATCGTCAGAAGGATTCCCAGATATGAGTAGCAGACACCCCTTGCATTGAACCTCATTGTCATTGTCGTCGTCCACATAGTCCTTGCCATACTCTTCTGTAAAGATTAATGGATGCTCATGGCTGAAGTGTTGAAGCTCCATTTCTCTGTCTTTATTCTCAAACTTCTTTGTTTTTTTTACTTTCTCTGTTCTTCTGAGAAAGTAGTAGCAAAGGATTGATGTGCATATGAGAACTGAAGATGAGCTATTAATGATAATACATCTACTATAATCTTGGTTCTGACAGTAAAATAACTGGATAGGTTTGGAGGAGTTGACTTGGCAAGGCAAGTTGTACTAAAATTAAGGGAAATATGATCAAGAATCTCTCTCTCCAGCAATCCTCTCTTAATTGCTGGATAAATCTTCGTAACAAAATGGTAACAGGACTAAATTGCAAAAAAAAAAATATCACTCCAAATAAAAAGCATATTAAAAGAATGAATTGTCAACTCCCCTATGCTAGGTCATGTGACTGCCAATCTACTGATACAAGTTCGATAAAAAAAAAAAAAAAAAATTGGATTAGTTCAACCAACTTTTCCTAAGTGTGTTAGTTTGATGAGAGTAAATTTTTCGCTAGCAAAATTGTCACACTCATACCATTCTGTATGGGGAGTTCATAGAAATAAAAGCATCTCAGTTTTCATAATTGGAATCTTAATCAGTGTTACCCACTCTGTCATATATTGTTCATCCAGACAACGATTATGGACACAGAAGGGCTGTGGCATAACACTGGCTTTTTTAGTCTGCTATAGAATTCCTGAGAACAGTTCAATTGAAAGACAGAATTTGGCCTTGTTTGGCAATGGCTGGCTATTTCAGCCAAAAAAATTTACCCATTTGATCATATCAAAGCTAATTTAGCTGACAAAAGGGGGAAAGGGAAAAAAAAAATCTCAGTTGATGGTTTTTTAGTAAAGTGGACAACAACTTCCTGATTAAACGCTTCCACTGACAGGTAGAAAAAAGAAAAAAAAGTAAACTAAACTAAACTAAAAAAGCAGACTTTTCTAGCATTTGCAAAAGCATCAACAACTTTTTTTTAACAATTATAAAAAAAATAAAAATAATAAAGAACCAAAAAACCTACTTGAAAAAAACTTTTGTCTCAGCACATTTGAAGTGCACCTTGAAATCACACTCTGCACATTCAAAGGCAAGGGGTGGGTATAGGTTTATAGATCCAGGACAGTAATTGCACTGAGCGTCGCCTTTAGTCTTTAGCACAAAAGTGAGAAGGTGAGAGTGATCATCAACTTCAATGGTTTCCCCAAACTTGATATTTGCAAATCTATCATAAAGACTAGTCATGCACCCAGCATGATTAGACAGATCACATTCATCACAGTGATAGAACCACTGTTTTGGGTTTAGTTCATTACAACAAATTTCACAGTAATACTCAGCCATATGGTCTTTCACTGGGAAATAGTGTAGGACAAATGGGTGTTCTTCATCATATCTGTGCCTAATTGTACGCGGCAACACAGCACAAGAGCTGTCGAGGTTGAAATTACAAGTTTCACATCCAAATGACAAGTTAGAATGGTAAACATGACAAGCATTGCACCACGAATCCCTTTTTTTGGTTAGGATGAGTGGGTGCCTGTGAGCTTCGTGTATGATAGCACCCGGTAAAGAACCACATGTTGGGATCTGGGATCCCGCCCAAGACCTTATAGAAATCATTGCAAGCAGAAAAACACACCCACACACAAGGAGACACAATATTTTACGTGGTTCGGCCCAATGCCTACGTCCACGGGAGAGTAACCGGTTATCACTATACCAATGAGGAGATTACAGAAAGATTACAATAGAGGAGGAGCTCACACTCTCCTCACTCAGCCACTCACCCGTCTCCCTCGCTCACACCGAGGGAGACGGTCTCTCCGCCTCACATCTCTCGCACTCTTTGGTTCACGGTTTTCTTCCTCTCTCACTTACTCACATTTTGGCCTCTCCTCTCACCCTCCATTTATACACATTGGAGTAGGTGGGAGTGCCTTTGGGTAGCCTCCATGCTTGACTTCGGCAGCCTCCTTCTTTGACATGGTTGGTAGCCTACTTCCTTGTTGACCAACCAAGGTGTGTTCACAAGACAATTTCCCCTTCACATGGGGTGAATTCAACACCACACCTGACATTGAGGTAGAATTTGCAAGTGCTGCAATTGTAGGTGAATCCATTGCAGTAAAGTCCACAGCCTTCACACCGGAAGAGCCCAAACTTAAAAGGATGGCGTGCAAGGAGAGTGAGCGGGTGTTCTAGGTGAGATGAGTGTCTCACCTCTAGGGGTAACTCGGCACAACTTTGATGCAAAAAGAACTTGCATTGAGCACAATGGTAAAATGGAGCTGAGATGGGTTGCACACATGCATTGCAGGCCTTGGTATTCTCTGTCTCGTTTGGGAGAGAAGGCTTGTTACTTTCAGAGCAAAATTCATCAGTAATTTGTGTGTCGAAAAGGACTAGTGGGTGCTCATGACGAAAATGGTTGAGCTCTTTAGTTCTCTTGTTATGGCTCTTTAGTTCTCTTTAGTTCTCTTGTTATGGCCCAAATGAACTTTCTCAATAACAATAAAACAATTTCTTTAACATTTGCCAAACCAGTTCAATCAACAGACAGAAATGTTTGAATGATATAATTATAAGAAGAAGAAGAACAACAATAGAAGCAACAAGGAACATGAAATCAGAAAACAATACAGAAGGGGACCAGCCAAACCAACCCGAATTGCTCTGCTTATGATGTTGCAGTTGCAGCAGTTGCACAATTCAAGTGGGCAAAGTATCTGCATTTCGCGCAAAAATAAGTCCAGTAAGTTTTGTTGAGGTTCTCAGAGCAAATGTCACAACAAGTCACGAAGTCATAATATTCCTGAGGAAAAGAGTAGCAGATTGTGAGAGGGTGATCGTGATCAACGTGTTTGACAGTGTCTGGCGGCGAAGCACAACTTTGGTTGATCCAGAATTTACAAGTGCTGGATAAATAGGAGACGCCTTCATGTTCGAGCCCGCAAGCATCACACAAGAACAAGGCTGTTCGCAGAGTGGTCAAAGGATGTTGATGTTTTGTCTGCTTGATAGTTTGCGACTTTTGAGAACATATTATGTCGATATTAAACTTGCAGACTGAACAAGTGTAGGCGAATCCCATAGAAAAATGTTTACAGGCGTAGCATCTGCGAGCCAATCGATATTCTGCAGGAACCCCAGAGAGGGTAAGAGGGTGTTCGGGGTGGTGGGTCTGTCGAGATAGTTCTGCACATGATTTGTGCAACTTAAAGTTGCACTCATTGATACGGCAAGTGTAGGAAGGACCCCCCGATAGGAGTTCCAGACACCCCTTGCATTTAACTTCCTTGCATTGTCGCCGTTCTCGTTGTCCTTGTCATGCGCTTCTGTAAAGATTAATGGATGCTCATGGCTAAAGTGTTGAATCTCCATTTTCTCTCTCTCTCTCTAGTGTCTCAAACTTCTTTGTTTTTGTTCTCTTTTTTTTTAACATTCTTTGGTTTTGTTCTTATTTTTGGTTTTTTTAGCAAAAGAGTTGATGTGCATGTGAGACCTGAATATAAGCTTTCAATGGTAGTCTTCGAGCATCTCCAACGGTAAATTAAATTTTTCACTAAATTTGAGTAAAAAAAAGTTAATTTTTTCAATTTGATAGGGCTTGCTCCAATCGTGTATCAAAAGAGAAAGGTCGACCGGTAAGGACAAATTTTTTTTTTTACCTGTTTGAACCTTTTTTGATCTGTTTGAACCTACCTATTTGAAAGGAACCGGTCGACCGGTGGGTCAACCGGCCGGACAACCGGTTGGGTGACCGATTGGCCCACCCCAACAATAACGCACAGTGAAATGGTGAAATCTGGAGCCTGTTTTCACTTTGATGAATTTTTTATTTCATTCTCATTTTGATACCAATTTAATGAAACTATTGGAGCTCTAAAAAGTGACTTTTTCATTAAATTTTAAATCTAATACAAAATTTAATGAACCGTTGAAGATTGTCTTAGGTACATAGAGAGCTGCACATATTTGATGGGACGGTTTGATTTGATTAGGATGTACTGGCTGAATCTATAACATATAATATACTTTCAGTCAGTCAGTTCAGTACTTTTGATCAGTTCAATTATCAGTCAGTTATCAGTCATTATCAGTTCCGTTTAACAGTAATCGGTGATTATCGGTAATCAATCCGTCATTAATCAGTAAACAGTATGGGGGTTGTTACAGTTTGATTTGATTAGGATGTACTGGCTGAATCTATAACATATAATATAAATAGTTAAAATTATTTTTTTAAAAAAAAGGTACAGAGTAAGGCCTTACAGTAAGAACCCCTCATTCGAAAATTTGAGGGTCACGTTAAAAAATTGCACAACTTTTAAGGGACTAATTGATAGTTGCCAAATATGCTACACTAAGGTCTCGTTTGAGAATTGTTAGGTATATCTCTTTATAGGAGTTTGAGATTTAATTGATTTATTAAAAAAGTTTAATTTTGTTTAGTATTAGTTATAATATATTTTTATATATTATATCTAATTTTTAGAGACCTAATTCAGTTCAGTAACGATTAGGATTTTGTTAAAACAAATCCAAAATTTAATAATATATATTGAGATTGTTTTGTGTTTTTCAAGAAAAAATAAGAACAAGCAGCCTTTTTTCCTTTGTGTAGCAGCCGTGGTACATCATATTTGGTGGAATCAAATTGGGTGAGTTAGTGCTGCTTTTCGGTTGATCTTCGGAAGTTCTCTTTGCTTCGTTTTTCGATTCTTTGAAGCATTATCAGTATGCTTATTCGATTGGTTGGTGAAGCTGATTTGATCTATTATTTTGGATCTTCAACTCTGGTTTTGAAGATTTTGATTCATCTATTTGGTGAGGTCTTTCTTCTTTGTTTATTTGTAATTATTTGTAATTCACCTAAGGGTGATTTTGTGAGACCATTGGTGTCTCGTTTGTAATTGTTTGAAAACTTTTCGGTTAATAGTGGAATCAGATTTCGATCCCGTGGACGTACCTCACATTGAGGGAACTACATAAAAATTCTTGTGTTGCTTTTGATTTAATTTTTTCAT